CGTGAAACAGAAGTGGCTTGTACAGTACCACAACATCCTGTTCTTGCCAATTGACAATTCAATAGATGGCTCTTGAAGGCTTTTTTGTTTTTTAAAGCTAAAAATGGGCTTTTGTGCTTAACTGAGCAGTACCATTAAGGAACTGCTCTTCATATATGGTTCCAGTCACCTGTGGGGTAGGAGCAACTCAGGTGGCTGGGTTTTTTCCATCCCAACATCCTCACTCAAACTGGGGGGACTTACGGAGATAGAAGCTTCTCATTAGGTTTGCTGACTTCATCTGAGAAAGAGTAGTCTGGCTGGCTGTCCAAGGAAAACAGAAGGGGACCTCCAGCGTCCCATCTCATAGTGTGGTGTGAACGAAAGGGGGTTTGAGAAGAGGCAGCTTTAATGGGAAGCCTGCTCACCTCCTGCACTCGCGGCTCCAAAGGAACTTGATCCTGGCCCTTGTCCTCTGTCCCAGGATAGGGTCTTAGTTTCCCAGCGTGCTGATGCGTGATTTGGCTGCAGACGCTTCTAGCTGTGCTGCTGCTGGCCAGTACCGCGTTCTCACCCTCACCACCCCAGGGAACGCGCCAGCTCAAGGAGGTGTCACTTCCCTGCTGCCAGCGGGGTGTTCCATGGGAGATTAGGCACAGCCCTTCTTGTGTTGTTTTTGACAGCGAACCAGCTGCTTCTCCTCCAGCTCGCCGTTCTTGCGGTACCTTGGCTGCTGCTGCTCAAATTGTTTTGTGTGCACGTGTTGCTGCAAAAGGTTTACGATCAGCGAGGGGTGGTACCAGAGGCACAGCGTAAAGCTTCATCCTTCCTGCTCCGATGGGAGCTGCACATGTGTTATCTCAGTCTTCCCCAGCACCCCTCAGAACGTGCGTATCGGGGGGAACTATATTGTTTTGTCCCATTTCAGTGCAGGCAGCTGAAAATTGTAAATCATATGTAACAAATACCCTTGGCCAACAGCTTTAAAAAAGATCTGTCAGCAGCAGACTGAAGCCCTAATTCAAGTCAGCAGCTTGGGTTATGTTTTGTTTGGTTTGGTGTTTTTTTTACTGTAAGTTTAGCTAGTTTGTGACTCAAATCTCAGGTTTTTACTATATTGAAAAGTGGAGAAGATTTTGTCATTGTTTTGTTTTGTGGCTAGGATGTGACTTTAATTTCCTACAGTGGACTGTTGAAAATAGCACTGAAAGCTACAGTATTGATTGACTTGATCCTAAAAAGTGCAAAAGACACAGAGAGAGAGGCAGCACCAGGAATAACTGAATCCAGAGGCTGTGTTTGTGCCGTATGTGTGAGACGCTGGAAGAAGGGATAGTCTGGGCAAGGGATAGGTCGACACTGCATGGGAAAGCATATCAGGTCTTGGCTATTCATGAAACATACTGCCACTTGTCTCTGTTTACATATCAGGTGAAAGCAATTACATTACAACTATTTTCAGCATATATGCATGCTCTGTGTGTGTATATATGTATGCAAATAGTTTAGCAGTGCTCCGCTCAGCCAGATACCAGTAAAAGCCTGTGTCTTTGATTTAAATCAGTTAATGGGGGTTAACACAAATCAAGCCCTAGAGGCAGAAACAGAATCTTCCTGTCTTTTGTGCTCCTTCACATGTGTGTTCTCCCCTTCTCCCTTTACATACAGATATGTACATTTGGGTTTTGTTCGGTTAATCACCTTCTGAGGAACTGAAATCTGATCTTCTGTCTCCTTGTGATTTCCAATACGCTGTAGTCACTGAATGAATCAAAGCTGTAGGCTCAGTATTTTTAGGGGACGGGTTCCTGTAGGAGGAAGCCTTAACCCCATGTCCTGCGCAGGGTGATGCCCTGTCTCCTGTCTGAACTAGTGTCCTGTGCCTGAACAATGCTGGAAATGGTTTTTAGAAGTTTGGAAAGCAAAGTGGATGATGCGAGAGGGGAAATGTGTATATGTTCAATATGAATATAATGTTCTTTGGTGTATGGCAAGCTGTTTAAATGGTTCAGAGAGATGTGAGTTTCTCATCTTGTTGTGTCATGAGCATTACCTGTATGTTATGATGAAATAAAATCAGAAATGGTACCTGTTTATATAGAACGGCTGAGGAAGGAGCCTGTCTGCCTCTGGCTGTGGAGCGTGCGTTACCTGCCTGCAGTATGACCTGCTCCCCAGCACCCAGGACTAGCAGGGAGCTTGTCCTTATCCTGTGCATCCTTTGCAGATGCGTGCCTGTTAATGAATGACACAGATTGGGTAGCTTTGGACGGCTCGTCGCAAGCAGCGGTGACTTTACAGCACCAGTAACAGTTTCAGCCTCTTACCTGTTCCTGTTTACCCCACCTCTTCTGCTCCCTTGAATAGCAGCAGTGGCACTTCTCTGCATTAACGTCTTACAATGTCTAATGCAGTTGTGAGTAAACTGTTCCCAAGGCAGCTGTGCTACTCTTTCTGTGGCAAGTATTTCAAATTGATCAAGTTACCTAGGATGAACCCCATGTTTTTTTCTTGCCTCCCATACTTCTTATTTGAAGAAGAATTTAGTTACTTGTTTAAATACTTGTTTTGACTGATTCTGCCAGTACTGAAGCATTCAGAGCGACTTCTGATTGCTGAGGGAGGGGTATGCCCCTCATGGCTCCTTCAGAGCATAGCTTATACAAATGTAGCATATATTAAAATTAAATCCTGCAGCAGAATATGGCTGCTAAGGTTATATCCTTAGATGGCAAAGCTCAGACCTATAAGCTTGTGTAATGGCATCTTCAAACTCAGATCCAGTAACAGAAGCATTATTTTAAAAGATAATTTTAACACATAATCCCAGAAAGGGAAATGCAGAATCTTCGGCCTCTCTGGAAGAGACCGTACCATCAGCCACAGCACAAGCAACAATCTGCGTGGGCTTCTATGCTTGCTTCTGCAAACAAGATGTACCACCTAGTACTTGGAAAGCTTGCATCCATTGCACGGTAAAACAAGAACCATGCACAATACTAGACCTAAATGGCAGCAGCTTGTTAGGGTCACATGACAATCTTCTAAGATTTACCCACTCTAGCTTCCCTCACCTTACTCCAAAGTCCACTTCTGATCTCAGTAGGTCACGCTAACTCTCATATGAACTGCTTGTTCCATTTAAGGCCTGGTTTTTGAAGCATGCACTTTAGCATTCACCTGTCCTCCTCTGGCCTGCTTTGCAGGACTTGCTCTGCTCTTGTTCTTCCATCCCTCTACTCTTGCCCCTGCCAGTAGACGGGTCTGTGAAGAAACAGTCTAACTCCATCTATCTCCAGTCAAAACCTGAGAGGCAACTGAAATGTCTCACACGTCATCAACATTTAATTTTCATTTCATTGACTGACATTACCGGGAAGGGCTCCCAGAGGTCACTAGGCTCTTGGTGTAACCATCACCGTTATATTCCTAGAGCGAAGTGGACTGAAAACAGGGCAAACCTCCCCCCGACATGGATCAGGTAGCCCTACTTTTTTGAGGGGGCTGGAGCTGGGCGCGGGGGAGATGGGAGAAAGAAAACAGAAATGTGACAATTATGTGGGCCGCTCTTGTAAGTAACTACACGCTTATCCCCTACCTGCTCCTTACACTTTGACTCACAGCACAAGTTTTAAACTGATCTCTACCAGAAAGTGTTTCTGCTGTGAAGCCTTCAGCTAATTCTGCACTTTGAGAATATTAATGGGAGCCACTATCAATAGGAAAGGAGAGAGAGCTATTTCTAGCCTTCTGCAACACCCACCCCTCTGGGAAGGGGCTGCTTTCCTAGCATATAAAATGCTGTAAAACAGATGTTTAGGGATCTGCCCTGCTGGAGAGGAATGCTTACTTTGAGGTGTGGATTTCAGCTGCTGTTTACATGGACCCTCACCAAGCGCCACTGCTGTACAAAGCTGTAAATACCTCCAGGGATGGTGACCCAACCACTTCCCTGGGCAGCCTGGTCCAATGCTTGACAACCCTTTCGGTGAAGAAATTTTTCCTAATATCCAATCTAAACCTCTCCTGGCACAACTTGAGGCCGTTTCTTCTTGTCCTATCACTTGTTACTTGGGAGAAGAGACCAACACCCACCTCGCTACAACCTCCTTTTCAGGAAACCTCAGCTGAGGTTTCCTAATATCCAATCTAAACCTCTCCTGGCACAACTTGAGGCCGTTTCTTCTTGTCCTATCACTTGTTACTTGGGAGAAGAGACCAACACCCACCTCGCTACAACCTCCTTTTCAGGAAACCTCAGCTGAGGTTTCAGCTGCTCCTCAGAAGACTTGTGCTCTAGACCCTTCACCAGCTTCG